TGATTAGATTTTGAAAAAAGTTACTAGCAAATAGATTTCTTGGTGGGAAAATAAGCACAGAATAGGGCCCACAGAAAGAGTGCAGCAGGAATTGAGTAAGGAGGCAGAATTCAAAAGGAGATTGACTTACAGTCATCTATAGAAGAAATTTGAGTTTCCTATAGTTAAATTAAATAGAAATGTTTGTTAAGGCCAAAAGAAAAGATGATCTGGAAAGTTACAAAGTTTATTTGGTAAAAAGAAGTTTGTTGGATGTATTGTATATAGAAAATTTTCCTAACTGGTTTAAATAAGGATGCCACTGAAAAGCCAGAATCTGACTTTTTTTTTTTCTTTTTCTTTTTTCTTTTCTTTTTCAGAATCTGAAATTCTTAGGGGTGGGTGTTTCTTTGGGAGAGCCTTAAAATAAAGGAGCACAGAACAAATTAGGTTGGGGATGGGGGAGGGACGTTTACTAGGATATCCTGTAAACAGTAGATCATTGTTGCTATATTGTGAGACAGTTTTTTATAGTTAGCTGGCTTACTCTTTTTTTTTTTTTTTTTAAAGATTTTATTTATTTGACAGAGAGAGAGATCACAAGTAGAGAGAGAGAGAGGAGGAAGCAGACTCTCCCTGCCTAGCAGAGAGCCCGATGCGGGACTTGATCCCAGGACCCTGAGATCATGACCTGAGCTGAAGGCAGAGGCTTTAACCCACTGAGCCACCCAGGCGCCCCAGCTGGCTTACTCTTAAGTCATTTATCTAAGACAGTGGTTCTCAAAGGGTGGCCTGTGACCTCTGGGTCTATAAAGTCAGAACTGTTTTCACAATTATATTAAGACATTATTTGCCTTTTTGATTTTTCTGACATTTGCACTAATGGCACAAAAGCAGTGGTGTGTAAAATTGCCAGTATCTTAGCATAAACTAAGGCAGTGGCATCAAACTGTACTAGTAAAACATTGTATTGTTCATCACTGTGCACTCACAGTCTAAAAGAACAAGCCAGAGCCAGTTTCGCTTAAAAAGGTCCTTAATGAAGCAGTAAAAATTACTTAATTTTATTAAGTCACGACCCTTGAGAACACATTTTTTCCCCCTTATATTCAGTGTGATGAAATGGGGGTACTGGGGTAAAGTAATTTGGCTGCATACACAGGATGATGGTTATCTCAAGAAACACATTTTTGTGATTATTCTACTTCTGAGTACTTTCCTGTGACAGACACAATTTTAACTTGAAAGAATGACAAACTACAGGTTTTCAGAGTTGGGTATTTGGCAATTATTTTCTCAAAATGAACAAAGCCTACCAATTCCAAGAAAACAGCTGACAGTATTTGTGCCAATGATAAAATTTGAGCTCTCCATCAAAAATTAGTTTTTTGCAGAACTTGTATGCATCACCTGAGTTTTATTTATGTATTTCCAGTTTTGTTTTTTTGTTTTTTTTTCTCTTCATTTTTTCCTGTATCTGTTTCCATCCATTTGGGATCATTTAGAATCTGCTGGAAGTTGTTTTTTGTTTTGTCTAAAAATACTTTTCCTTCATTTCTAAAGAGTGTTTTAGCAGAGTGTAGTACTCTAGGTTTGGCTCTTTTCTTCTTTGAGCACACTGACAGTAACACTTCACTGTCTGCTGATTTTCATTGCTGTATTAAGAAGTCAGCTATGAGTCTAATTGTGTTACTTTACAAAATTCCTGTTCCCACTTCCCATGATTTTTCTTTTTATTTTCTTTAGTTTCACAATGGTGTATCCAGGTGGGTTTTTTTTTGTTTTTGTTTTTTTTTTTTAATTTTCCTTAGGATGTCAGTGAATTTCTTAAATCTGAGATCTTAAATCTGGAATGAAAGGTCTTTAAACAGATCTGATAAATTCTGATTATCTTTTAAAAAGTTACTATAGTCCTATTTCTAAAAGTAATAAAACATATGTTAGACCTATTTACTGAATCTTCTACCTATTTTTCTTTACCTCATATCTGCCAGCTTTTAATTACTCAGTTTTGTTAATCTGAGCTCAGATACAAATCCACTGAATTTGTTTTTCATTTGTAGAATTTCTGTCCATTTGCTCCCAGCACCATTTGTTGAAAAGACCATCCTTTCTCCATTGAGTTGGTTTTGCTCTTTTGTCAGAGATTTGTTGATTAGATTTTTGTGGGTCTGTTCGGAGGTCTTTGTTCCATTAACCTATATGTGCCTATTCTTTTACCAATTCCATGCTGTTTGCATTACTGTGGTTGTATAATAACTCTTGAAACTGGATAGAATTTGTCCTCCAGCTTTGTTCTGCTTAGTCATGTGTTGGCTGTTAGGTCTTTTGCCTTCCCATATAAACTTCAGAATCAGTTTATTAATAACTGCAGATAGCATCCTGGGATTTTATTTGAATTGTGTTGAATATGTAGAGTTAGTTGGGAGGAATTGTTATTCAAATCACTGGTATAGAGCAAAATTGAAATGAAGTTTTATCTAAGAGCTGTTTGTATTTCACTTTTACCCTGGATGATATATGAAAGTCCCCATGTTTGGCAGGCCCTGGGTTCTGATTTTTCCCTGTGAGGCTGCTAAAAGGTTACATCAGTTTTTGCAGCTTTTTCTTTGGATTTGTTGGTTGTCCTAAGGACAAAGCCTTGAATGCTAGTATCTTGCCTTTTTTTTTTTTTTTTTTCCGGTAGAGTTTGGGACCCAGTAAATGTTCATTATCTTTTTAGCTCTTGAGTACTTTTAAGGTTTTTAAAAACAATTTTATCTAGTTTTAAAGTTGTTTTCAGGAAGGGGATTATTAGTTCTAATTACCTACATTATCATTACTGAAAACTGGGTTATCCCCATTGCTCTGCCTCCCTCATAGAATTGATGGTTGGCATATTTAGTCTGTAAAAATTTGTAGTAATTATTGGAGGAGCAGAATGAATTCTCCAGGTTTACAGTGTCCATTGAGAACTTCCAGACAGTAATAGATTATGCTGCTTGAGATAAACTTAGGGTAGATCTTGGTAAGCTCTACTTCTGAAGAAATGTGGCAATTAAGTTTTTATGTGGTCTAGTTAATGTTAAAATGTGCTTGGTTTTGGGTGCTGGGAAGTTTGGCAAAAAAAAAAACTTGTAGTAATTTGGATTTGTGGTGTGTAGACTACTAGTTACCCGTCCCATTCTGTTTTTCCTTTCTTAAATTCCAGTGTTTAGCTAGGATTAAGACTACACAAAATAAAAACTGGATTTCCTGCTTTTGCAGCTAGGAGTGGTCATGTTTTAATAAATGGCTTGGACTTCTCCCTCTGGTGTCAGACTTATACTTTGAGTTGTCTGTTGGCTATCTCTGTCTGGAATTATACCAGAGACACTACAAGCTCCACATATCAAAAGTAATTATTTTCTGGATCTCTGCCCTTCATTTATCCATTTACCAGTACTAGAACTTCTGATTCCTCCAGTTTCCACCATCCCCAAATTTGTATACATGTATACACTTAAACTTCAAATCCAGCTAATTTTTCCTCTTCCTAAATGTCCCGCCTACTCCCAGTCCATACCAACATTGACCCTAGTTCTTTTTTTTTTTTTTTTTAATTAGATTTATTTATTTATTTATTTATTTGAGAGAGAGACAGTGAGAGAGAGCATGAGTGAGAAGGTCAGAGGGAGAAGCAGACTCCCCATGGAGCTGGGAGCCCGATGCGGGACTCGATCCCGGAACTCCGGGATCATGACCTGAGCTGAAGGCAGTCGTCCAACCAACTGAGCCACCCAGGCGTCCCTTGACCCTAGTTCTTGAGCTTGTTGTCTCTTGCCTAGATTGCTGTAATAGCCAACTAACTGCTTCTTTGTTTTTGTTTGTTTGTTTTTTAAAGATTTTATTTATTCGTTTGAGAGAGCATGAGGGGAGAGGTAGAGGGAGAAGCAGACCCTGCTCAGCAGGGAGCCTGACCTGGGGCTTGGTCCCAGGACTTGGAGATCATGACCTGAACAGAAGGCAGACACTTAACCATCTGAGCCACCCAGGCACTCCTGCTTCTTTTTTCTATTCTTATAAGTCCCATTTTTCCTTTTCTATCCTTATGAATCACCCATCAGTAAGTTTTCAACCATGTTACTCATGTGGTTGCAGAATTAATTTTAGTGCCCTTAGCCTCCCTGACTCTTCGTAATTTGGTTCCATTTTACCTTTCCAGGCTCATCTGTCATTCCTAACTCTATATCTGATGCTCTGATAGCACCAGATTTCTTTTATTTCCCTTCCCATGTATTCTTGATTCTTCACTACTGTTCCCTTGCTCATTCTTGATCTAGGATTAACCTTTTCCTTTAAAATTGGTTAATGAGATTTTTTATTTTAATTAACTTTACATTTTTTGAAACCCGAAATAAATAGGCTCTGCTGTTGAATATGCCGTAGTCTGAAAATTATTTATATTCTAAGTTGCAATTTCTGTTTTTATTGAAAGTATTTGAGATTTTTTTTTGAAATTTCTTTGAAGGCTTGAAAGAAATGTTTTATTTGGTTAGAAAAAAACAATTTTAATATGTGCATCATGTAAGTTGTTTAAGAACAGTGCTTATCTGGATCAGTCTCCTTATGTCCCACATACAGAAATTGTGGCCAGGAGAAATTAGTGATTATGTGGTGAGGTAGAAGCAGAGTCAAGATCTACTGTGACCTATATCCAAATATCAATACCTGCTTTAAAAAAATCTTCAAGCATGTTGAGGTTCTCAAGTCTTCAATTACGTTCAGGATTACCAAGCATTGTTACAAGGGCCTTTAATTTTTGTGTGAAGAGGAACTTGGGTAATGAACTAAGCAGTATACAGTGTAATTCATGTCTTCTTAACAACCTTAAGGAATGGTTTATTTATAAAACAGTGACCTAAACCTTGCCTCTATACCTGTCTTCTTGGCAATTTATTATTTAGAAGGAAATATTTTGACCCATTGCTTAAGTATTCTAAGTAAAGCAGGCATGGTAGATATAACACTTTATAGATGTATATATCTTTGTTTGTTTTTAGCATCAAGCATTGCACGATTCTCTCCAATAATGTAGATCATCTATTACTGAATTTAACACTGTCTGATATCATGGTCTCCCTGGCAAATGCCTCAACTTTACAGAAGGATTCCAATTGGATAGAAATGATAAGGAAATTTGTGACAGAGACCCTTGAAGATGGCTTTAGGCTAAATAGTAAGCAGCTGAACAGATTGCTTGGGGTATCATGGAGGTTAATGCAGATACAACCTAACAGAGGTAGGTGTTAATGCTTTGTCTTTCTTTAAGAGAGGAGCTCCTTTTTTTTTTTTTTTTTTTTTTTAAAGATTTCACTTACTTGTCAGAGAGGGAGACATGGTAAGAGAGGGAATACAGGCAGGGGGAGTGGGAGACAAGAGAAGCAGGCCTCCCACTAAGCAGGGAGCCCAATGTGGGGCTTGATCCCAGGATCCTGAGATCATGACCAAGCCAAAGGCAGACACCTAACAATTGAGCCACCTAGGTGCCCCAGAGAGGAGCTCTTATGCATGCTGTTAGGGTCTAGCTTTGAACTAATGACTTCCAGACATTCCAGGTAGTCAGATTAATTATATTCAGGCCATAAAATGTAGCTTATAGAATTATAAAGGACTGTCTACTTGAACACTGAAGTTTTTTGTGGCTCAGAGAATCTCCTCAGTGAGTAGGTCCACTCTGAAGCAATATGGTAAGATTTCTAGTAGATTATAGACTTGAGTAAAAGAAGATAGGTGTTATTAAGAGGAAATGCCATTGAGTCTAATGATGAAAAGATACCTTTTTCTGGTCTAGTTTGATTAGAAATTGAGTACTTTTCCCTTTTATCTGTATAGAATGAATCCTCTACCTTTCTTCTACCCTGAAGTTATGTCACATTAAGTTCTTTTTTAGTGTGACTTACTAATTGTCTTCATTCAAAAACAAAGCTTTCCTTTTTGGTTCCCATCTTACTCATCTTTCTGATATCCTGGTTGTTGTCATCACTACATAGGTTTGTTGTCCCTCAGGAAAAATTATACTGTAATCTCTGGTTGGTTTGACTTTTATAGTAAAAAGTGCTACAGGACTTTAGTGGTAGTTAACAGTTTGTGACTAAGATCTGCTTTGTCATAGGAACAAAGTAAAGTGCTTCTGTGCTTTTAGAGGAATTAGAGCTGGTGAAGAAACATTTGCTTCATATGCAGTTGTTTTTGTTTTTAGAGGCTACAGAGTCTCTCATCAAGGCAGTTTATACATTATATCAGCAGAGGGGCCTTCTCCTTCCAGTTCGGACTTTGTTACTGAAGTTTTTCAGTAAAATTTATCAAAAAGAAGAACTGAGATCTTACAGGCTCAGGTAAAGTTTCATTTAATTTGCGTTTCTTTTTCTTGTAAGTTTTTTTTTTTTAAGTCTATTTAAATAAGACAATAGGGTGATAAAATCTTTGGAGGAGTTCACTTTTTATCTCATTTGGTTGTAATAAGAAAAGGTATAAACTTATATAAAAAAGCATATATAATAGGGCCAATAATCTTTATGTGTATAACCACGCAAATAAAAGCTCTTTGAGTTTGTATTTCCACTTGTCCACTTACAGCTTAAGGACAATTGGAATAACCTATAGCAGCCTCAGCCTTGCCTTTAGCTTTCTGTAAAAATTTTGGAAATTGAACCATTAGTGTTTAATTACATGTTGGGTTATATGGTACAAGAATGAGGACAGTAGAAGATAAGAATATGTTTCTGGCTGAGTTTGGTGCTATCAAGTGAGATGGACAACACAAAAACTAAGGAACTAATTTTTTTTTTTTTTAAAGATTTTATTTATTTATTTGACAGAGATCACAAGTAGACAGAGAGGCAGGCAGAGAGAGAGAGGGAAGCAGGCTCCCTGCTGAGCAGAGAGCCCGATGTAGGACTCGATCCCAGGACCCTGAGATCATGACCTGAGCCGAAGGCAGCGGCTTAACCCACTGAGCCACCCAGGTGCCCAGGAACTAATTTTTTGATGTGAGTTTGAGATATATTTCAGATAGGAAGATATGTTTAGGCAGAAGATGAGGGTTGGGGCTACCTCAGCATACATAGGTAGTTGTTGAAACATATTTGAGTCTTTAGTACAAACCAGGTGCTTTACATAATTTATTTAAATCTCATACTCCTGCTATGAAGTGTAGGTATTGTTACTTTTGTTTTATAGGAGGAAACTGAAGCTTGGGTTAAGCAAGTTGGTGAGTGTCCTATAACTAATGGGAAACAGAGCTCAGACTTAAGTTCAGATCTGTGTGACAACAAAGGTCATGCTTAAATCATTAAACTTTTGCGGTGCAGCAAAAGTGATTGCTGTTACTTGAGTAAAGAGACATTGGAGCTTTACCAAGTACAAGTGCAGTTGACCCTTGAACATTGTAGGGTTAGGGTCCCTGACACATTTCCCCATGCCCCTCCACCCCCTGACACAAAAAATCTGTGTGTAACTTTTGATTCCCTCAAAACTTAACTACTAATAGCCTACGGTTGACTAGAAGCCTTTCCAATAACAGTTGATAAACACATATTTTATGTTACATATATATATATATTTTTTTTAAGATTTTATTTATTTATTTGACAGAGATCACAAGCAGGCAGAGAGGCAGGCAGAGAGAGAGGAGGAAGCAGGCTCCCTGCTGAGCAGAGAGCCCGATGTGGGGCTCAATCCCAGGACCCTGAGATCATGACCCAAGCCGAAGGCAGTGGCCTAACCCACTGAGCCACGCAGGTGCCCCTGTTACATATATTCTTATAGTTGCATCTGACTTCTAAGAAGAATACTGTATTTTTGGTATTTCTAGGCTATGCACTTTGTGAGGCTTTCAAATTGTTGCAGTTCTCCAAAAAATTTTCCAGTATATTTATTGAAAAACAAACAAACAAACTGATTATAAGTGGGCCCACGCAGTTCAAATCCATGTTGTTCAAGGGTCACCTGTGTACTGAAGAACTAAAATAAGAGGTTCAAAGCCTTTAGTTCTGGGAGCATCGTTTATTGACTGCAGCAGTGTGTTAATACAGTATAATAGCTAACAAGATAAATAGTACAAAGAGTAGTAGTGTCTGTGTTTTTTAAGATAAATGTACAATTTAGATAGTGCTCCAGATTACATGATCTTTTTAATTTAGTGTGTAAAACCCTGGAAAATGCTGTAGCTGAATAAATGATGTTGCCATTCTTGTAGGCTCTCAAATGTTTAAATGGGTACATGTGGTAGTTCTTGGTAGATGATTTGTTACTTTGTGGTATATTCAGGTTAAAATTTTTTTATGTTTAAACTTACTTCCCTTGTGTTTGGCAGTTACACTTTATTTTGTTCTTATTTGGTGTTTATTAGATACCGTAGTAAGGTGTTATCCCGTTGGCTGGCTGGCTTACCACTGCAACTTGCTCACCTTGGTTCCCGAAATCCTGAGCTCTCAACACAGCTTATTGATATTATCCATACTGCGGCAGCACGAGCAAATAAAGAATTACTAAAAAGTTTACAAGCTTCTGCTCTGCGAATCTATGGTAAGAGTTTAAGTGTGTGGGTAGCCATTGATCTACTCCTCATTCAGGAAATTTCTAAGGAGAACACTTTAGGTTTGCCTTTCCTTTATTATAAATTGGTTATACCATGGTTAAATTGCCAAAACAAAATAAAATTTCAAATAGTAAACTCATTTTCAATAACAAGTATTTTTTATTAGGGTAGTTTTAGAAGGTTTAGTGGTTGTAGATGATTCTTGATTCTTAAATTATCTTTTCAGCTGCTTGCTGTTCTTAAATTCAGAACTGATGAGGAATTCTTAAAAAAATCCTTTGAAGCTTTGGCAGCAGATTAATCATAATGGATATCTTTTATGACTTCCACATTTATTTTTTTATTCATCTCTGGAACTATTTCGCATTTTAAGCAAAAATACCAATAAAATCATACCAGGATATATACGTATATATAATTTATATTATTGAGATGTAGTTCACATGCCATAAAATTTGCTGTTTTTCAATGTACATTTCATTGTTTTTTTTTTGTTTGTTTTTAAAATTTTTATTTATTTATTTGACAGCAAGAGAGGTAACACAAGCAGGGGGAGTTGGAGAGGGAACCAGGCACCCTGTTGAGCAGGGTACCCAATATGGGGCTTGATCCCAGGAACCTGGGATCATGACCCGAGCCGAAGGCTTAATGCTTGTAGTATCTTTTGCTTTAAATTGGGTTGATATTGTAACTGTCACTGTTGAGCAAAAGTACCTGTTTTTTTACTGTTTAATCCCTTTTCCCCCATCAAACTTATTTCAAACGTGACACTCGGGTATTATGGAATTATTATAGTTCATTGTTTTACTTAAGAAAATAGTTTAAGTTGAACATGCACTTTATGATAAAACTTTTTATGTAGTTGATATATTGGAATTCAGTTTAACACAGTTATCAGTCTCTATTGATTTAATCTCTGTAAACTTTTATATCTTTATAAATTCATCTTTTATGAATTTAATATGTGTACCTACCCCACCAGATCCACAAGAAGGCACTGTGGTGGTTCTCCCAGCAGAGTCTCAGCAGCGTTTGGTCCAGCTTGTATATTTTCTACCCAGTCTGCCTGCTGATTTACTTTCTCGATTAAGTCGTTGCTGTATTATGGGAAGACTCAGTTCAAGTTTGGCTGCCATGCTTATTGGGATACTGCACATGAGGTAGCGTCCTCAAGTGAGATATGTTTGAAGTGTATAGTCTTTTTCCCCATGTGTTTTACTGGCAATGTGTAAACTACAGAACACTTTTAAAGTTACATACTGATACTAACTTCATTTGCTCTTAATGCAACAATTAAAACTTTTGTTATTATTGCTAGAGTAAGCTCACTAAAGTAAGTTAAGTTTTTTAGTGATTTGTATAGATAGAAATGGTGTGTAATCATATGTATAGATTTATACAGATTAGAAATTATCAAAAGCGTGAAGTAAGGGTTCAGCGGCAGGTGAGTACTGTGCTTAAATCCTTCGGTGTTGTGGAATTGTGATACAGGCCTTTTCAGGGACCTACAAATTTAATGTAGCTGGTGAAATAACAACGTTTGTGGACTCAGACAAGGAATCACTTGAAATCATATTTACACATTGTTGTGCAACTAGCACCACTTTCCAGCTCCAGAACTATTTTATCATTCCAGACTGAAACTCTGCATGCATTAAACAATGATAACTCCTCATTCCCCCTGTCCTACCCCTTTAGTAACCACTATTCTATCTTCATGCTTTTGATTATTCTAGGTACCTCATATAAGTGGAATTACACAATATTTGTCCTTTTGTGTCTTGTGTATTTCATTCATCATAACTCTTCAAGGTTCATCCATGTTGTATCATGTATCAGAATTTCCTTTTAAAGCTGACTTAATGTTCCATTAAATGTATATACTACATTTTGTCCATCTCTTGATGGACATTTGGTTTTGTCCGTCTTTTGGCTATTGTGAATATGCTGCTTTGAACATTGATGTACAAATATCTGTTCGAGTCCTTGCTTTTAATTCTTTTGGCTATGTACCCAGAAGTGGAGTTGCTGGATCACATGGTAATTCTCTAATTTTTTGAGGAATTGCTCTGTGGTATTCCACAGTGACTGTATCATTTTACTCTTAAAAATTTTTTTTTAAATTTTATTTATTTATTAGAGTGAGCACGAGCAGGGGGAGGGGTAGAGGGAGAGGTAGAAGCAGACTCCCCACTGAGCAGGGAGCCTGATAGGGGTCTCCATTTCAGGACCCTGGGATCATGATGTGAGAGGAAGGCAGACGCTTAACTGATGGAGCCACCCAGGCACCTCTACTCTTAAATGTTTTATAACCAATTAATAGTGTTTCGTATTGCAGATGTTCAAAGTATCCTTAAACACTTATGTTTGTATTTTAGACATAATATTTTTATTTTTTTATTTTAAAAATATTTAAAAAAATTTTTAAAGATATTTATTTATCAGAGAGAGAGAGAGCACAAAGCAGGGGGGTGACAGGCAGAGGGAGAATCAGGCTCCCAGCTGAGCAGGGAGCCCCACGTGGGACTCTATCCCAGGACCCTGGGATAATGACCTGGGCCAAAGGCAGACACTTAATCGAGTGAGCCACCCAAGCATCCCTAAAGATTTTATTTATTCATGAGAGAGAGAGAGCAAGAGAGAGCACAAGCAGGGGGGAGGGGCAGAGAAAGAGGGGGAAGCAGGGAGCCCAGTCTGGGGGCTCAGTCCCAGGATCCTAAGATCATGACCTGAGCCGAAGACAACCAACTGAACCGCCCAGGCACCCTAGGCATAATATTTTCAGTAATATTTATTACTGATATGGTTCATGGACGGGTCTAGTACGGTTTTAGGCGGAAATTGAAATCTAGGCTATACCTAAACAGTTTAGATCTTGTGGTTTCCTGTACATACAGATCCCCTAGCCCAGTTAAGTAGGAGTGGCTCACTTTATTAATAGAATTTCTTTACCGTCTTTGACATTATCTTCTTACCATTATAGGACATATGTTGGAATCTAGTTACCGAAAGTGTGATTCATAACTGATGATAACCTTTCCTTTTAGCAAAAGAGAGCTGTCTGCGACATGTCTGTATGTGAAAATTCAGTGTTATATTTCTGTGTACACATGCAGTAGAGAGCTTGGTCTTATTTTTAAGTATTTTAAGCATTTATTAGTTTTCTTTTCTTAGGGGAACACAATGCAGCTCCTTGTCTAGTAAGCAATTATTTAATATTTGTTTGGCCTTTTAAAAAATTAAATGTTCTTTTTTTGTTCCTGAGATGGATTTGTGTTAATTAACTTCCAGTAGAGGGCACTCTGTTTCTGTGATATAACTTGTGAAGAATCTGTTTTAAAATTGATTTTAAATAACCTTTTGAACACTTGTTGAAACTAATTCTCCTTGAAAGCTCTATTTAATGTCTTTATCAACATCAGTTATGATTCACTTTGCTTAGCAATTTTTGCCAAGGATATTTTCAAATTTTTACTTTTTTCTTGTGGAGATTTGTGGTAACTGTTGAGAAAATAAATTCACAAATAATAGCAGGGGTTTATAATCATTAACAGCAGATTGTCATTGTAGCCAGAAGTCCAACAAGTTAAATTTTGCTTTTTAGTGAAGTCTATTAGGTAGATTTACCTGTCTGTAGATGTATTGTTTCCATTCAAACTGATCTCTCTTTTAAAAAATAATACAAAATTAGTACTTCTCAACTTTCTTGGGCCAGTGACATTATCATTGTATCAATTCCTAGATTGAGAATTTAACGATGTTTCCTTCAGACATATGCTGGGTTATTTCTTTTCTGGTTTTCTCTTCAAAATATCCCTCTCCTTGACTGTGACTGTAAACTAGCCAGCTGTTTTTTATAATCTTCTAATATATAATATCCCATCTATTTTGCACACTGTTCCCAGGTTAATTTTCCTGAAATATTCCTTTAATTCTGATTTTTTTCTGTCACATTAATTGGATTGTGAGATCAGGTTTAATTTAGGTTTTGTAATTCTGATGCCCTGTTTGTCTTTATCAGAGGGAAGAATATTAGTTTGTGCCATTTGTGAAAAACCCATCAAGTGAGAACTGTTTATTTTAACTTTTGGAAAAGTATAGAATTGCTGTGCCCCTACCTTTTTTATTGCCCACTTAGGTTTTTAGGGTTTGACTCGCCACCCCACCCCTTGGCATTCTACTTGTATTTTTCCACTTGCTTTTGCTCATTCCTTACCTTTTCTGCCCCTAGTTTATTTACAGCTAGATTGGGGCACATAAGACACAAATGTGGAAAAGTAGTCTGCATTGTTATATAAAAATCTTTGACGAGGGAGAAATTTTGGACTAAGAAATTTGGCTTGAGTTTTAAGTGATATATATATATGACCTGCTCTGCCAGGAACAGATTCACTTTACTTCTTTTGTCTCATCTTATTCTCAGAAGTATTCTGGCTTGGACAGTACATATGGGCATAATTTTAAGGACATTAAGATATGTTGCTTATCATTTGTTCAAAGTGGACCCTTCAGTGGTTTTGCTACCTCTTTTAGCCACTGGGTGGCACAGTTGATTTCTGTTTTCACTGGGTTCAAAAGCATATTAGTTTGCTAACTACCATTTTCGTACTACTTTCCAATGTGTATTTCTGACTTTCTTGTAACCTCTAAACTTTTAATATTCCGTCCATAGTCCTTTGCTAATTGTGGAAAAATACCCAAGGGTATTTCCATCATTTTAACTCCCCAAATTTAAAGAATATTAATAAATATAAACACAACTGTTTGAATAGTTAAAAAAAAATTGTTTCTAGTTGAATTTAGAAACTCCTAATTTTGTCAGATATTTGTTTGATGAGCTGTGATAAAATTTGTAGCCTCAGCTTGTTGGATCTGATCATTCTCATCGTACCTCCACCCCTTTTTCTTGACATATCTAAGGCTGAAATTCGCTGTCATTTTCTTAAGACTTGACTTGAAGAGAGTTTTAAAGGAATCACTGGAAACTGACCCCATAGCAGGAATCAGATAATCCTCATTTAATGAGAAGCTGCTTTACATTTAGCTATTTTCTTAAGTCCCCTACCAGTCAGTACTTGAGCGCACTATTATGAAGTAGGCCCAGTTACAGCTTTGCAAAATATAGGAGCACATAATTATTGTAGAGTGGCTTTACAAGGAATATTTTTTACCTAATCAAGATAGTTTTTTAGGTAGAAAGCTGGAGCTTGTTTAAACTTAACTCATTTGAGTAAGCAAGGTAAGAATTTTTAAAAAAGTAGCAGCTATACCAACTACTGAAAAGCAAAACTTCATTTTGGCTCCTTAGAGTCTGATTTTCAAATGGTTTGGAAATTTTCTAGGTTACATTGTATGTATGGACCAACTATGCTTTTTCATGAAAACTTTACATAAACATAAATATGTTAGAAGTTAAATTTTCCATATTATGATACTTGAGCCCTTACATATAAAGTGAATATATACTACAGGTTTTTAAGTTATTAATGCAGATTTATTTTCAATAAAGAAAAATTGTTATATACTGTGCTCTTTTTCTAGAGTCTTCAACTTGGTCACTTCTGGTAATAATTCTCCCATTGTTTATTATAGATCATCGTTTTCTGGATGGAAGTATTCTGTTAAAGACTGGTTGATGAGTGACGTGGACTATTTCAGCTTCTTATTTTCAACACTTACAGGTAAAGACATTCACCTGCCAAATTAAGGAAAAGCAAAACCTAGCATGAAAATTCAAAGATTTGCTGTCTTAGTGGTTTGGGTTTAAGTTTTGAAGATGATAATCTTTTTATCTTGAAACGATTTTTATTGACTAATAAGTAGAAATCTTCCTCTATTGTCAGGCTCTTGAGGCAGGGATAAACATGATTTATGTTTAAATCTCTCAGAGTAGGAGTACTCTGGGGATTATTTGAATATCCCGTGATTATAGTTTTCTTTCTCATTTCTCAGCTTTATTGTCTTGGTTTACAGTGAATTGAATATACTTGACTTTAAAAAAAAATTTTTTTTAAAGATTTTATTTGAGAGAGAGAGAGAGAGAGAGAGAGAGAGAACAAGTAGGGGGAGGGGCAGAGGGAGAGGGGGAACAGGCTCTGCTGAGCAGGACCCTGGGATCATGACCTGAGCCAAAGGCAGACACTTAACTGACTGAGCCACCCAGGAGCCCATACTTGACTCTTTTTCAGATAGCCGTATGCAAACCCCACTGCATACTTTAAAAAATTGATGAACAAATATCCATCTTAAATATGTTTAAAATGTTCAACTTGATAGGAATGTAAATCAAGTTTCGATTAGCCATTTTCTACATTCCATTGTTCTCAAAGCAAAATTAGTAAGATGAGTCTAGAAATGTTGTAAGCTAGATGTATAAGTATTGCTGTTGTTTTAAATGATTGTACTATTTCAGCATTTCTGTTTTATATTTGAATGATGAAGATGAGATTATTTGACATTTTCTGAAGACTTGAAGTTAGGAGACCTAATAGATAGGTTAGGTCAGACTCCGAAAAGAACTTGACAAGTGCTGATAATGAGCTAAATCCAGCGAGATAAATGCTGCATACAAGATAAATGTGTTTATTTGGTAGTTCTGGATGTGCACATTTGAGATGCGAGCATGGACTTTATGTTTTAATAGTATTACCAGTCAGAAGGTTTAGTGGTTTTGGAAAGCTCACTGGGAGTCAATAGTGTGATGTGGCCATCAAACTACATGAGGAGTCTTCAGGCTGTGTTCTGGAAATATAGTGATCTGAACATCGAATCGGACCACACTGCTGGTATTCTGATCGTTCTGAGCACTTGTTTTTCAGGAGACACTGTCAGTTGTCTATGTAGGTTAGACCAGGGGTAAATAGGGGTGGTAAGAGAATCAAATTTTGTTGTATAAGGTGTAGTTGAAGGAACACACATGTAAAATCCAGAAAGGTTTAGGAGGGCTAGAGTAGTTTTAAAACATTTGAAGGGCTATTATATAAGAAAATAGAGAGATGATATATATGTGAAATCATATATCATTTTACTTAATTGATTTGGTATTTTAAACCTACCATTAAAGGGAAAGCATATGCCTTTCACTTTTTTAAAAAGTAAAATTGGTGAAGTTCCCAATAGGAGTATAACCTGTTTCTTGCTGTATCATACATGGGGTCAGATCACATTCTTTGTGTACATAATTATATGAATTTTACTGCCTCCATTGCTACCAATTCTTTAAAATATATGAAGTGAAGAAATTGTAAAAAAGCTTGAAGAAGAACTTGAAGGTACATGTCATGTCTGTTAAAAAAATGAAGAATGTCATTTGCTTTGTGATTTATTTTTTTAAATTGTCTTTCTTTATACCCAAATTAGGGTTTTCGAAAGAGGAGTTGACTTGGCTTCAGAGCCTTCGAGGAGTTCCTCATGTCATCCAGACACAGCTTTCCCCTGTGCTTCTTTACCTTACCGACTTGGATCAATTTTTACATCATTGGGATGTAACAGAGGTAATAGTGCATTTAAAGAGGAACTCATGATTATTAAAATTCTGTTAATCAACCACCAGTCCTTAGGATATATTAGGATCGCCTTATAGGAGATACTCTTAGAGATAAAGAGTAGTATAAGACATGACTCATGTTCTGAGAGTGCTTATGATCTTGGATAGGAGATTGTGTTCCTAAAAAGAGGAGTGTTCATTACAGGTTGCACTACTAGAATAGAATAAATTTAGTGATTTGAATGGTAGAGACAAATTTATTTTCTTTTAACTAGTACAGAATACGATAGATGGTTCTATGGAAAAGGGAGAATTTGACTCAGGTGTTGAAGGATGAATAAGGCTACTTGGATTTGGTTTCCTAAAAAGTAGCGTTTTTTTAAAAAACAGAAAAGATTATTCTGCAGTTCCTTTGGTTTTGAGAATTAGTACATAGTTCGTTAATGTTAATTTAAAACCCTCACTTCCATTAAGTTCAACCTATAAAACTTATTTTTAAGATAAATAGAATGAATTTAAGCCATCTTTAAAAATGGGACTCCAGGGGCACCTTGGTGGATCAGTGGGTTAAGCCTCTGCCTTCGGCTCAGGTCATGATCTCAGGGTCCTGGTATTGAGCCCCACATTGGGCTCTCTGCTCAGCAGGAAGTCTGCTCCCCCCCCCCCCAACTCTGCCCTCCTGCCTCTCTGCCTACTTGTGATACCTGTCTGTTAAATAAATAAATAAAATCTTTAAAGAAAATAAATAAAAAATAAAAATGGGACTCTGGTTATATTTTATTCCTTTTACAAACTTAGTTAAAATTTTATTTTATTTATTTATTTTTTTAAAAAGATTTTATTTATTTATTTGACAGACAGAGATCACAAGTAGGCAGAGAGGCAGGCAGAGAGAGAGGGGGGAAGCAGGATCCCAGCTGAGCAGAGAGCCCGATGTGGGGCTCGATCCCAGGATCCTGAGATCATGACCTGAGCCAAAGGCAGAGGCTTAACCCACTGAGCCACCCAGGCGCCCCTCAGTTAAAATTTTAAACCATTAAAGTAACTTTTAAGTATAGTCACTAATTGCCAAGTAGTTCAGTTTTCTGACAAACTTTCACAAATGTTAAATATATATAATAAATGTAAATTTATGATAAATCTTAGTAACTTAAGTTTTGGTATTGCTTATAGTAAAAATCAAATTAAAATAACAAGTCTGGGGGTGCCTGGGTGGCTCAGTGGGTTAAAGCCTCTGCCTTTGGCTCAGGTCATGATCCCAGGGTCCTGGGATCGAGCCCTGCATCAGGCTCTCTGCTCGGCAAGGAGCCTGCTTCCTCCTCTCTCTCTGCCTGCCTCTCTGCCTACTTGTGATTGCTCTCTGTCAAATAAATAAATCTTAAAAAAAACACCAAGCCTAATTCTAGGTTAATTACATGTTTTAAATTGGAATTATTAGGCTGAACTTTTACCCTAATAAGCCAAATTGTCATTCATGTTAAAATATGTAAACTAAATATGCAAAAACATATTTATGCATGTGCAAAAATGCAAAATAATAAACATTGATGCTAAGGATTTGATTCTTTAAGACATTTCTATAATAATTAATTTCTATTATTTATTTCTTCAGTTTCTTTTCCTGCATGAAAAATGCTTACTCAGTAGGAATGTACTTATGTCATCTCAAGTAATTTTGGTTTCGAATCTTTTTTGCAAATTCTGATGTTATGTTCTCTGCTGGCTAATTTTCTTTTAATTCAGAAGGCCTCTGGTGAGGACACTGACTATAATTTTTTCTTGTAGTTTATGACTGGTACTCCAAAGGGCTTTGTTTTTTTTTAAAACCTGTTATTTTGTTTTTAAACCTCTTTGTTATTGTTCTAAATAGGGTGGTCTCCACATTCAAGCTTTTGTTGATAGACCATTTGAATTTATTCAACTGATCTATTATTTACTTCTTTCATTCTTTTCTGTATATCCTTAATGTTTTTCCTATCTGTTAGGACTGTACCTTTTATAGGTAGACTCTGATCATAATACTTAAGTATGCCAGTTATATTTATCTTCTCTTTATTGCCATAGTGGCTGGCACTGTGTTTATATGTAGGTTTTTAAAAAATAACTGGATTTTAGGGGCGCCTGGGTGGCTCAGTCCTTAAGCGTCTGCCTTTGGCTCAGGTCATGATCCCAAGGTTGATCAAGATCGAGCCCTGTATCAGGCTCCGTGCTCAGTGGAGAGCCTGCTTCTCTCCCTATCCTCCTCCCCCTGCTTGTGTTCCTTCTCTCTCTCTCTCTCACTGTCAAATAAATAAATCTAAACAACAACAAATAGATTTTAAATAGTGAAAAGAAATAATGAATTGGTTTAGCATCTGAAATTTTATGTACCCCATGGTAAATGAAGAGAGCTAAAACAGGTCTCCTGAGGTTAAGGCCTTGAATACTGGATTGGTGGGGTTGGGCTTGCCAACAATAGTGTTTTTTCTTAAAACTACATTTTCTGGGGCGCCTGGGTGGCTCAGTCAGTTAAGCAACTGCCTTCAGCTTGGGTCATGATCCCGGGAGAGTTCCGCATCGGGCTCCCAGATCAGTGGGGAGTCTGCTTCTCCCTCTGACCATCTCCCCTCTCATGCTCGCTCGCTAGCGCTCTTTCTCTCTCTTGCAAATAAATAAAATCTTAAAGAAATATATTTTATTTTTACAAGAGAGCGAGTGAGAGAGTGCATGAATAGGCGGAGAGGCAGAGAGAGAGGGAGAAGTAGACTCCCTGCTGATCAGGGAGCCCAATGTGGGGCTTGATCCCAGGACCCTGGGATCATGACCTGTGCTGAAGGCAGATGCTTAATTGACTGAGCCTCCCAGGAGCCCCAGTAAGAGTAGTTTTAAAGGACAGACTCCCTAATGTATTTAGGCCATCATGATGTATTTGAGAAAGCATTGTATGGCGATTAGCGGGCTGTCCCTATTCCAGGCATAGATTTGCCATTGTCTAGTTTTATAATTCGGACAAGTCGTACAACCTTTTTCTGATAATTTAAATTTCTCATAAGCACATTATCTCTGTAAAGCCAACGTAAAATTGTCATAAAAATGTTATCAGCTGTATTTCTGAAATAACACTTAGCAAGGACGTGTATTAAACTTTGAGGTTGCTATCTTTGAAATGTTAAGATATAATTAGGAAAAATCTGAAAAACACATTTTCGTTTTTGGAGTTCTTAAGTGAAGATTTCAGTTTTCTCTTGGATAAATTCTGTTAAGTTTGCCTTTTCATATAAAAATATCTGAAATACACATAGTTTTTGACATCCTTACTGTAAAATTTTTAAAATTATTTCATTTGAACAATTTAATTAGGACAGTGGGATTACTCAGTTTTGTAATTTTACCTGCCTAGGCCAAAGTGATTTTTTTCTTTAAATCAGACTTTTTTTTTTTTTAATTTCTTTTTTAAGATTTTATTTATTTATTTGACAGAGATCACAAGTAGGCAGAGAGGCAGGCGCAGAGAGAGGAAGGGAAGCAGGCTCCCTGCTGAGCAGAGAGCCCGATGCGGGGCTCGATCCCAGTACCCTGAGATCATGACCTGAGCCTAAGGCAGAGGCTTTAACCCACTGAGCCACCCAGGCGCCCCTAAATCAGACTTTTTTTTAAAGTAGGTATTATTCACAAAATTTAATTCAGAGTGGAAGATAATTTAAAAAAAAAAAAGTCTTTTTTCATTCCCCCTCAGCCACCCATTTTTTTCTTCCCAGTTTCTAAATACATTCTTTCAGATATCTTTTGTCTTCACAAGTGACTTAAATATATTATTTTTGTTTTCTTTTATAGAAATAACATACTTTATCCACTAATCTGGACCTTGCCATTTTCATTTAGTATTTTTGTGATTATTCCTTCCGAGCACTGAAGGAAGAATTATGTGACCTTCCTATTAATGATGGAAACTGTAGTTAACAGGGAAGGATCACAAAGGAAACAGAAATCTCTGTACAGAGGTACCTTTTGTAAATGGAATCTTCTATTCCAGAGCCAGTGAACGGTTTTAAGGTTAATATTGTCATTTACAAAATATTGGATGATTGTAAAAGAATGTTTTTTTAACATGGATAAGCCCTGAATAATAATAATAATAAAACATAAATCCAGTTTAAGAAATAGAACATTTTTATTTTTAATATTTTTTTATTTTAGAGAGGGAATAGGGGGAGGGGCAGAGGGAGAGGATTCTAAAGCAGACTCCTCACTGAGTATGGAGCCCCACATGGGGCTTGCTCCATGACCTATGAGATCACCATCTGAGCTGAAATCAAGTTAAGACACTTGACCAAGTGACCCACGCAGGCGCCCCTGAACATTTTTATTTTTGAAACCCTTGTGTGTGTTTCTCCTTTCCGTTCAGAGTTAACAGTGTTTTAAATTTTATCACACTCTTCTTCCTTTTAGTTTTACTATATTAGCACATAACTCCAAACTATAATGTTTTTTTTTTTTTTAAAGATTTTATTTATTTATTTATTTGACAGACAGAGATCACAAGTAGGCAGAGAGAGAGAGAGGAGGAGGAGGCTGGCTTCCCGCTGAGCAGAGAGCCCCATGCGGGGCTCGATCCCAGGACCCTGGGATCATGACCTGAGCCGAAGGCAGAGGCTTTAACCCACTGAGCCACCCAGGCGCCCCCAAACTATAATGTTTAGATTTACATTGTATTAAACTTTTTTAAAAGTGCAATATTTTTCAGTAATTTGCTTTTTATTCAGTATACTCTTGAAGTTATGTATGTTGTTAAGGCACGTGATGTAATGGGGACTGGGTGTAATATAAGACTGATGAATCACTGAACTCTACCTCTGAAACTAATAAAACACTATGTGTTAATTAATTGAATTTAAATAAATTTAAAAAAATTAAAAAGTTACTTAATATTAATGTGTAAGCAGTTCATTGTTTTCATTGCTGTGTGGTATACTGTTGTAGTAAGATATCATGATTCATTGCTTTCATAGTTTGAGTATTTTTAGCATT